TCCCAAACACAAATATTCCTACGCCAATCACACTACGCCTGTGAAACATTTTAAATGACACTATTCATGTGAGATATTTGAAATAAATGCCATTATGTATGTGAGACATTTAGCCCCTGTAAGTGTGAATAGATTAGGCATTATAAGCAGTTAAATACCGTATGGTGTTTTTGTTTCCTATGAAATCTCAATGTGATGGTTGTGTGCTGTTTATTAAACATTTGTTACCACTGGATGTGTGTGACCTATTGTTCATTAGTGTTGCAAAATGGAAAACAAAACAGAAGCTTTTACCATAGACTAAAAGTGAAAATGTACGTGTAATGTCTTTCATGTTCTCATTGTGTCATTCATGTTGACTTCAATAGAGCCCCACAGTGGAGGTGTCATAATACCCATAAAACCTAGCGGTCAAACAGGGAAATGGTTCCAATCATTTTTCCCATAGGGGATTTTAGAAACACTTCAAATAAGGGCTGTGTTTTGTGTAGGCTAACTGGTATTGGATCTATTTAAAACTTGCACAAGACAGTTCACAGAATGGTCCATTTAAAGAAATGTAGCCAATTGATTAATTACTACATTTAGCTAACATTAGATAGTTAATCCAGAGATTCTTACCTTTGCCTCGATTCAGCAGTCTCGTCCAGATCATCATGACATTTGTAGTTCTTTCTGATAGCCACATTAGCAGCTAATTTGTGTTTCATTTTTGGGGGGTTAAATACAGCCGAATATATTGATAAAAGTCACCTTGTCCTAGAGAGATTTACACGGTTATCAAAACGTCACGCCAGAGTAAGCCTACATGAAACACAGCCCTTATTTGAAGTGTTTCTAAAATCCCTTATGGGAAGAATGAATGGTGGAAAAACGATTGGAACCATTTCCCTGTTTGACCGCTAGGTTTTATGGGTATTATGACTCTGTGGTACTCTATAGTTACTAACCAACAGCCTGAAAGTTTTTAAATGCATCTGACGAAACACTAACTACGAACATAGATGATATACAGTTGTGTTTTGTTATGTTTCCCATTTGTCTGTCAAGCGCCCCCCTACACCCAACACACACACACCCCTCCACCCAAACATAATAACTACACACACTCCTCGCTCTAGCCCCTGTGTGTTTTCCTAAACTAGGGCGGCCTCCTGTGGAATGCAGGGCTCTGTTTAATCCCTGAGTCTTGTCAGGCCCTTTTTTATAGGAAACTCATCTCAACGTCCAGCAACAAATGGAGCGCAGGGATTTATCCGTGGAGATAGAGTTTCAGCCTGCAGCTGAACGCCCCTCTCTCACAGCTCCATTAGGCTTCCTTGTTAAGTTAAGCCACAAAGAGACTGTGTGTCGCTGCTGCTGCTGCTGCTGGTCTCCTTGGCTTGGCGGCTGTGTGTGTGTAAGGTGGGCTTGACTCTAGCCTGATCTTCCTTTCTGTTTCCCCTGTGTACCTTCAGAGCGAGTACGGCCCAGCATGGCAGCCCCCGGCAGCTCCAGCGGACTAGAGGTTCTCCTGTCTACTCTGCAGGTAGGAACACACTGGGTCTGGGACTGTGAGTGTGTATGCATGTCACGGTGTGTGACTGTGTCTCTGTTTGCCCACGGTCACTGATATGGCAGTCTAAAGTGGAATGCTCCAAATAAAAGTGGGCAGGGGTTCTGCTGATGGACGGGAAAGGCAAGCAACAGGCACTTTCAACAGGCACTTTCTCCGTAGAGCTGAAAGAGGAAGATAAATCGAGAGCTTGGGACTATAAGGGTCTATCTGCATTTTTGTCAAAATTGAGTTATTGATATAGCCTTGTTCTGTTCAATGTTCTCTACCTATATAGTACTCTAAATACCCCAATTTGTGTTGTTTAGTTCTAAAGAATACTAGATAAAAATTGCTGACACCATTCAAACCAATGAGGGTTCGGAACTTTAAAGCCAATTCTCTCCGAATCGTCTTTTTGCAGATATAACTTTATAGTCCCAAGCTCTCGGAATGGTGATCATAAGCATTCTCTCAACACCCAGAAAAAGCATCTGGAAATATGTTCACAACTTTCACTTGTATTACACAGACAGTTACTGTACGGTATAATATAGCTTACTGTGTAGCTTCTGGAATGGAAGTTTCAATTTAGGTTGTGTTGTTCAAATATTTTTTATGAAATGGTAAACATATTTCCATTTAAATGTTAGTATATTGTATAGTAGTAGTATTTTAGTCTACTGATAGTCAGTGTCGAGAATACTGTAATTTCTACACTCCTAACTGAATTAAATAAATGGTGAAAAATATTTTCTAATATTGGTTTGTGCCCACTTTATTTAAAGTAGCTAAACTAGTTCATAAATCAGTTTGTGTAGTTTACATGACATTAACTTGTGTAAGAAAAAGCTTGTGAAGTGATATGCATGACCAGCTGTAGGAAGGCAGGCAGAAGGCTGGCGGGCAGATGTCAGTGGGGATAGCTAGCTCTACTGTAGCTGTTCTGGTGGGAGAGGAGCAGAGGATTACAATATAGAACGGATGGTGTGTGAGATATCATCTACAGCCCAGTGAATGCAGCTGATCCCTCAGTATTGCAGTTGTCAGGATCCACTTTTAAAACCAGTTTCATACTGTTATGTTGTTGGTGCTGTTGTTGCATTTGGTTCTGTTGAACCACATTTGTCAAGCATGTTGGTAGACTATTTGTTTTTTCATAAGTTTGTTTTTACTAATTACATAAGTAATTACATTTTCGATTATGTCAAAGCTGTTATATGTTTTGGCCTTCCTGGTTGTTGTGTATTTGCAGTGAAAAGTATGACATTTAAAAAATTTAAGAAAGCTCAACATAACGTAACTGACACATCCTAAATTAGCCTGTATAAAATGTCAATTTTTTCATAAACTGTAACATTAAATAGAATTGCATTACAACCAAGTGTATTTAAAATGTAAACAACATATAAACAACATAAATATAAACAACTTTGTATTCTTATATAAAACGGACAGCTTAGTATTCTTAAAATATTGTAATTTTTACCTTGCTTGTTGGTTCATTTTGACCAAAGTAGACAGTAGCTTTTCTCTTACTTTGAGTGATAATTCATTAGATTTCTGATCCACTCCCCAGCCATGTATCCTGATTGATAATGAATTATGATAGAGCACACTGACAACACCATTAATTCCCCATGCTTAGCCGGAGACAAAGTGTTGCCCCCCACAAAGTAGCAGTCTTACCAACTGTTATCATTAAGCGGATTGTCTTACAAATACACTGGCCTTGGTGTGGCTGTGGGTGCCTGTATTGATAGCACCGGTAATTCATATATTCATGTCATATACTGAACAAAAATATAAACGCAACATGCAACAATTTCAAGGATTTTACTTAGAGACAGTTCATGTAAGGAAATCAGTCAATTGAAATAAATTCATTAGGCCTTAATCTATGGATTTCATATGACTGGGCAGGGGCGCAGCCTTGGGTGGGCCTGGGAGGCCAATCAGAATGAGTTTTTCCCCACAAAAGGGCTTTATTACAGACAGAAATACTCCTCTGTTTCATCAGCTGGCAACATCTCTGGTGGACATTCCTGCAGTCAGCATGCCAATTGCACGCTCCCTCAAAACTGTGGCATTGTGGTGTGTGACAAAACTGCACATTTTAGAGTGGCCTTCTATTGTCCCTAGCACAAGGTGCACCTGTTTAATGATCATGCTGCTTAATCAGCTTCTTGATATGCCACACCTGTCAGGTGGATGGATTATCTTGGCAAAGGAGAAATGCTAACAGGGATGTAAACAAATTTGTGCACAAAATGTGCGAGAAATAAGCTTTTTGTGCAAATGGAAAATTTCTGGGATCTTTTATTTCATCTCATGTAACATGGGACCAACACTTTACATGTTACGTTTATATTTTCTGATGTAATAGAGACATGGAGAGTAACAATATGCCAGTGTTAGTAGTTCTTAATGAAACCAATACCCACCAACCATCACTTCTAATGTTTTCTGAAGCGCATGTGACAGAAAGACATGGCTCTTCACAGATACACCTCATGTCAGCTCAGCTGTAATAGATCGCCTCTGTTGGGTGTTGGGTCCTGTCTCTTATCCCCTCTGTGACAACACCTGTCATGGAGTACACACACAGAAAGGCCAACAGAGAATCTATCTTCTGCACTGTTATATGTCAAGGTCATTGTAGTACTTTTCCTAGATCATTTCATATGTTCTGCTGTACTCACAGAGTATTTATTTTCAGAGTATTTTACTTAGATTATTTATTTTCCTTTATTTCGGTTCTATACTTTTAAAAAGGTGCATACGTACTGTACAATCCTTCAATAATGTAACCCTTTGCATATCTTACTCCCAGTGGTCTATTAGAGAACCAACGTTTTAGCCTTCTTTAGTCTGCACCTCGTCAACTATTAAGCTTTGAGTCTGCAGCTCCTACCTTATCCCTTTCCATATCTAAAATCATCCCAACCATATAATAACACTGCCACCTGTCTAACAAAGTTAGCCTTTTTCAGCACATACGGTATAAGCAGATATTTTCCCTGCCTGTTATCATATAGGAATTCTCTCAGCTATAAATGTCGAAGTCTGGGCCTGGATCGTGTAGGTGATCCATTCACACCTAATCACCATGCCTGTTTAGGTTCTGTCTGTCTATAGAGATCCCAGATATCACCTTATTCCATATGAAGTGCACTACCTTTGACCAGGGCCCATAGTAGTGCACTATATAGGGAATAGGGTGCAATTTGGGACTTCTCTCTGGGGATTAGTCCCCCCTCATACAGAAGGGCTGTCATCTGCTGCTGCTTTTAAACACAGCACTACAGCCCCTGCTGGGCCCGGGGCATTCGGTTTCCTGCACCTGGGCCTGTTTCAGTATTTGGAACCCACGCTGCTGTGTTGTTGTGACCTAAGTGATCTCACCACCTAATTCATCAGCAAAATTAGACGTCCGAGTCAAAGCTCCCCAGCTCGGTCTTGGGAAATGCGTTTGCGTTGCCAGTCGAGAGCATGGTCACATAGTTAAATGTAACAACAATGCCAATGTCAGTTCTCTCGTTCAAATTGCCATTACAACATGACAGAAAACAACAGCAGCAGCCTGGCTGAGGTTTTGACGTAGTGTTGATCTTTTCTCCCCACAGAATGCAGGGGACATCGAGAGCACCCTCAATATCCTCAACGTGCTGGATGAGCTGCTTTCAGCTGGTAAGTCTCTGTTGCTGATTCAGATTCATAGTAATTCCATGCAGATACAACGCTACAGTACCTCTACTCCCCCTAGATGGCTACAGTCTATTACCCTTCTTTGGTTTAGGTGCCTTTGGTCACTGTGTTGTGTTGTGTGTCCCAGGCACAGACAGACGGATCACCTACATGATCTCGAAGGGGGGCAGCGAGGCCCTCCTAAGCGCCCTGGTGACCACAGCCAGGACCTTCTCCCCCAACTTCACCATCCTCCTCCCCCTGCTGCACCTCCTGGCCAAGGTCGGACACAGAGGTGAGGCTCCGACTGACAGATCAGAGTGGAAATATAGTTTACAAGAACGTGAAGTGATAAAATATTTGGAGATATTATAAAGTGTGTAATTATTTAGCTGTTGTCATGACAGTACAGTCTCAGTTCTACTGCACGTTGTAGTGAGAGGTTGTCAAATGGTCTGTAGATCCCAACCTTTCAACGCAGTGGGTAGCTTGATGATTTTCTTAGTTACCATCTTAGAATGTCATCAGGAAGTGAGTCCGCATCAAATAATGGAGACATCGTGGCTTTCTCCTCCTTGGCTGAGGTGTCCGTCAGCAGTGGTGGAAAAAGTACCCAATTGTCATGACTCAAGTAAAAGTGAAAGTCACCCAGTAAAATACTACTTGAGTAAAAGTCTAAAAGTATTTGGTTTGAAATATACTTAACTATCAAAAGTAAATGTAATTGCTAAAATATTTTATTTTAACTAGGCAAGTCAGTTAAGAACAAATTCTTATTTACAATGATGGCCTACACAGGCCAAACCCGGACGACGCTAGGCCAATTGTGCACCGCTCTATGGGACTCCCAATCACAGCTGGTTGTGATACAGCCTGGAATCGAACCAGGGGGTCTGTAGTGACGCCTCAATCACTGAGATGCAGTGCCTTACACCGCTGCGCCACTCGGGAGCCCAAATATACTTAAGTATCAAAAGTAAAAGTAAAATTATAAATCATTTCAAATTCCATATATTAAGCAAACCAGATGGCCTCATTTTCTTGTTTATTTTAATTTACGGATAGCCAGAGGCACGCTCCAACACTCAGACATAATTTACCAACGAAGCATGTGTTTAGTGAGTCCGTCAGATCAGAGGCAGTAGGGATGACCAGGGATGTTCTCTTGATAAGTGTGTGAATTTGATAATTTTCCTGTCTTGCTAAGCATTCAAAATGTAACAAGTACTTTTGGGTGTCAGGGAAAATGTATGGAGTAAAAAGTACATAATTTTATTTAGGAATGTAGTGAAGTAAAGTTTTTTTACTTAAGTACTTTACACCACTGTCCGTCAGCTTTTAATAGAAAGGCCAGCCCAACAGGTCCATCTGACTGATGTTATCCATTATGTGACAAAGCTTCACTGACATGGATGCATACCCTCATATCTCCACTAGTGACATGTGGCCACTTGTAGGAATAGGATAAGCTTTCTCCATTCGTATTCATTGACCTGTTTATTGTAACCCACACTAATGAAGGGTTTATGGTAACTGGTATCAGCAGCATCAGCTGGTTTCTAAAAACCCATTTTGATCTCAAGCTATTTTGACAAGAATGAGAAGCAATGGTCAATTTATATGGTGCTATGCAATATAATAGATCAATGTGCTTGTGTTACTACTTGAATTAGATCCCACAACTCTTTACTTTCACATCTGTTAGTGCTTTCATTATGTTATTGCTAAACAGCACAAATCGTTTTATTGGTCTCATCTGCATTCCAATAAAAGCAAAGCTTCGCCCTATACTTCAGGGCCTGATGAGCCTTTTCTCTCTGGTCTACAAAACATAGTACAGTCAGTCATCTAATGGGTGCCTTTGACTGGATTCTTCACATTTAATGGGTGTCCTCCGATCACTAAAATGCCAGCTTTGAATATTGATGCAATATCCAATAAAGCCAGTTACGCTTTTGAATGTTGGTTTAAGTGGTTTTTCCACTATAATTGCTGTAATATTGTATCATAAACTAGGATTTGTATGCCTGGTTAAGCATTGTTGTGTGTCAGTGATTAGTAGAAAATCATACCCGATCTATTCCACTCCACGGACCGTCGGGCAATTCACATGTGTAAAAGCAGTGAGAGATCATTCAAGCGGATAGACAATCTAATAGCAGATTTGGATTGCGTATCATTCAGTGAAAATATTGTCCTCATGCGCCCAAGCAGCTTTTATTCATGCGTTAATTTCATTATGGTGATTCTCACTGAGAAGTGTTTTCTTGTTTTTTAAGTGGTGGATAAAATAAGCAAACCACATTGGCCTACAACTGTTTCAATTACTCGAATCAAATCTTTATCTTCATTTTAGCTTGATCCCTTTTTCTACCTCATAGAACGTTTAAGTTTCTCTGAAAAATAACCGTGTGAACATTTGCACTGGTGTAAACCGTGTCAGTGGGTGGTCAGACTCATTAGATCTGGGGGTTACTGACTGCTGTCTGTGGTGTTGTGTCTCGATCAGACCGTCGTATTGGGATGAAGGCAGAGAAGGCGGAGGCTGTGCTGCCAACTCTGACTCTGCTGAAACAGAATGTAAAACACGCCAGGAGGACGGCAGCCTGCCTTTGGGTCCTCCAGGTCTTCTGCTCCTCTGGTAGGTCAATGACCCCTTAAAGCTTCAATCACACTTCACTGCTTTGTCTGTTTTGTGATTTACTCTCAATGTCAACAGTATCCAGAATTAATACAAAGATGTCTATGGGACTCTGTGAGTTCAGGGAGTATGGAGGAGGTCTGCATTCTGAAGAGGCACCACACATTTGACTTGAGTGCAGACGTGCTGGTGCCCTTCATTTAGGATAGTAATTACAATTGAATGAAAACATACTGTATCTAAATATTGACCAGTGAAATGATAAAACATGGTCACAAGGTCAGAGCTGCAGCAGGTTTACGTCTGATAATTTTAACGATGACTGTAAACTGTCAATGAGTCGTTTATACAGTCGCAAGTGAAAGGTCCTCTGTAGCTCAGCTGGTAGAGCACGGCGCTTGTAACGCCAAGGTAGTGGGTTCGGTCCCCGGGACCACCCATACACAACAATGTCTGTAAATCGCTTTGGATGAAAACGTCTGCTGAAATGGCATATTTATTTTAAGTCTACACACCCTTTGCAGTCTTCAAATTTTGCTGCCTTAAAATTAAATCATAAAAGGGATCCAATTTGATTTTTTCCCCTATCGATCTACCAACCTACTCCAAATTTTCAAAGTGAATGAAAATGTATAGAACATTTTCCAAATTACAACAATATACAAAAGGAGGATGTATTGATTGCGTATGTCTTCACACCCCAGAATTAATACTTGGTGGGAGCACCTTTGGCAGCCATTACAGCTGTGATTAATTTTGAATAGATTCTACCAACCTTGCACAACTCTTAAGGCAACATATATCCTTTGTTTTTGTCAAAATTGCTCAAGCTCAGTACATTTGGTTGGGAATTATTGATGGATATATTGTATTTTTTAAGTATTATGGTGGTAGCATCATGTTATGGGTATGCTTGTCATCGGCAGGGACTGGGGAGTTTGTCACGATCAAAATAAATATGAAAGGAGCAAAGACTAGTAAAAAGATAAAGGAAAACCAGCCTGTCTTCTGAAAACCTAAACCTGGGATAGAGTTATATTTTTCAGCAAGACAATTACACAAATGTTTATGCCAAAGACACACCAGAATGGCTTTCCAAGAGGTGTTGTGTGTTCCTGAGTGGTCTAGTCTCAGTCCTGACTTAAATTTGTTTGAAAATCTTAGACAAGGTTTGCTGCCCATCACTGATTCCCAACCAAATGTACTGAGCTTGAGCAATCTTGACAATAACAATGGACATATGTTTCCCTAAGAGTTGTGCAAAGTTGGAAGAATATACATATACAAAAAGCTGGTTGAATCAACGTTGTTTCCGAGTTATTTCAACCCAAAAATGCAATGTGATTATGTTGAATCAACGTGGAAAACTGATTAGATTTGAAAAAAGTAAGATAATTTCCTATTTTTTTACACAACCTTTAACCTAAAATCAATGGCAAGGTGACATTTTTGGTTGATTTCACTTTGAATTCACGTTAGTTGACAACCAACTTTAAATCAAAACTAGACGTTGAACTGACATCTGTGCCCAGTGGGAAGACTGTGCATGGGGTGTGTAGACTTTCACTAGGCACTGTAAATTGAAATGTTTTGTCTGTAAGCATACCTAAATTATGTGGTTGAAGTTAGAATTTTGGTTGAAGTTGAGGTCTCTTGAAATTCCCATGAAGCCAGTAGATTTCCACTATGGACTCGTAAGGAATTGGACAGGGAGAAACATCATCAATCAGCACCAACCATTGAATGCAATTATCAATAGCATTTCTATCAATGTGTGCCTTTGTTTACTTCTTAATCTTTCAGTCACCACGGCTACGCTGCTGGGACAAAACCGAGGCCTGGACGTTATATTCAGACTGATACCCCCTCACACTACGAGGAACATACGCACCATCAAGTGAGTATCGTATATCATGTCCACCTGTCATTGGCTGTGCCAGAGAAATGCCACAGCTACAGCCCGAGCTCTACAGTATACCCACCGCTGCATTCTCTAAGCGCTACACATAACACGGACGGATCAGGTCACACTGAAAATGAGACTAACCAAGTGCTGGGTGAATCAAATACTGCACTTTATATGATTTATAGCCCAAGATTTAAACATAAGTTCTGCTGAAGTGCTGTTAATTGTTCTCTGTAGTTAGCCAATATGTAACAATCTTAGTGCCCTTATCAATAGGATTTGGCCTAATAAATGATTGTCGCACGAGAGGTATAATGTTTATTGAAGGTTTACTGAAGGTACAAGTTTATTAATAATATCATGAATTTGGCATTCTATTTATAGGGCTAATGGTAACTACTTCTAAACTTCCAAAGATCCAATCAACCATGGATGAATGATAGTATACCTAGCTTATCATTGAAATGATGGTGTCCTTTGGGCAAATCAGATGTCAATGTAGATTTCATAAATCCAACCTCACTCTCAATTTACTTTCACATATAGCTTGTTTAAGAAAAGTTAGAGGAGTTACATTAAACTGTTCAATGTTATTTAGGTAGTCTATGCAAAATTGTATGGAAGCTGATCAATGTCTAAATGTGTTGACATGATAGCTCAGCTGAATCAAACACAGCTGGTTTCCAAAGCTAAGCAGGATACTTAGAGGTAGGCATCTGGATTGTAGACTTGTTCTCACTGAAGTGTATTACCCCTCGTATACCAGTAGGAGTCACTGTTCAGGCAGGAATCTATCGACACATTTTATGATTTACTTCAATCTTTATTTGGGTTTATGGCATGATGTTGAAACGATGATGTTGACTCAAAAATACAATTTTACTATCAACATTGAAACAAGGTCAAATAAAATATGCCTAATCAAATATGAAATTCAACATAATTTCAACCACCCAATATACACGGAGTATACAAAACATTAGGAACAACTTGCTAATATTGAGTTGCACCAACTCAAACTGGTGCGCCTGGCACCTACTACCATACCCAGTTCAAAGGCACTTAACTATTTTGTCTTGCCCATTCCCCCTCTGAATGGCAAAGATACACAATCCACGTCTCAACTGTCTCAATGCTTAAAAATCCTTCTTTAACCTGTCTCCTCCCCTTCATGTACACTGATTGAAGTGGATCTAACAAGTGACATCAATAAGGGATCATAACTTTGAACTGGATTCACCTGGTCAGTCTGTCATGGAAAGAGCAGGTGTTCCTAATGTTTTGTACACTCAGTCATCACTCAATCAATCAAATGTATTTATAAAGCCCTTTTTACATCAGCAGATGTCACAAAGTGCTACACAGAAACCCAGCCTAAAACCCCAAACAGCAAGCAATGCAGAAGCACTCAGTGTATATAGGATGAAAAAGATTTGTAACATTTCTATGTGGAATTGTCATTGCATACATAGTTCTGACGATTATGTTGAAATTAGATTGATGTAACTACCTGTTAGGTCAGTGTATTTAAGTTGAACTCTAATTTCAATGTACTGTATACAATGCTGGTTGAAATGAGATGACAACAGTACTGGTTGTTGACTTTTTTCTAATCCAATGTATTTTCCATGTTGATTCCACATTTTTTGTAATTTTACCCAGAGTGACTTACAGGAGCAATTAGGGTTAATTGGCTTGCTCAAGGGCATATCAGCAGATGTTTTACCTAGTCTGCTCAGGGAGTCAAATCAGCGATCTTTCGGTTACCAGCCCAACACTCTTAACCACTAGCCTACCTGCTGCCCCACGTCACAATACGTTGACAAATTACATTGAAACAACGTTGATTCAACCAGTGTGTGCCCAGTGGGTCTAGTTCACAGATATCGCTATAAAATCACTCACTCTGTCATCACTCTGCATGACAGCAGACTATGGAGCACCACTAAATTTCAACATGAACTTGAGTACTATAGATAGGTTTGAGTATAGTATACTTGGACAGCTCAATTCATAATTTAACTAAGCTAACTGTGTCTTATGAGATAACAAAGTTTAGCCTCACTCAGGAGAGGCTGTAGTGTCTTCCTAGTACTGCTAAAGGGCATAGGTCTACTTTGTCGCCACCATAAAGCCAAGAGCCCAAAACAGAATGTGTGTTGTTGCTTATAGATTCAAACATTATTTTTGTCTTATATCAAAAATAGTTTTACCCTCTACCAGCAAGAGAGGTTTTACGTTTTCTAAAACTGAATCCCTTGAAAAGCGGAACCTTTTTCGTGTCGGCACAAATTGAACAATTTGCATAAGTTTGCCTGGCTCAGATTTGTAATTAAATGTGTGCCTTAAAGCAAGAGTCCGCCGGGCAGAGGAGGAACTTGCTGAACCTGCATTCATCAAAACTTTCCCCAGTAGCTCATTTAAAGGGAAGTAGGTTACTCATGTTTAATGGAGTTGGATCACGGCAGGGAGCATATCTATTGGCACTTTCTTTCTGTGCAAATGGAAAGTAAATTGTTACCGCCTTTGGCAGCAGGGGGGAGTTTGAACACCTGACGTTCTCACTCAATTTGACCAAATGTTATAATACTTTGCAAACACTAACGTACACAATCAAACACATACACATGAAAGCAAACACACGCAGGCCAAGCACACACACAGGCACACAAGCAACAGGCACACACGCACAGACACAAACACATTTGTTAGTAGTGCCTGCTATCAACAATCCAGCACCAGAGATCCCTGCTCCCAGCTTGGATTCTGATGGGAATTCTGACACATGCATTTATTTGTTCACATGTTGGAATAGGAAGAGGCTTATCAATCATGTATGTAGTGAACGGTGCCCTCATAGCCTTTCCCCAACATGGTATTGAAAACGCAATACTGCCAGATTTCCCTTTTTGTTGCCTATAGTGTTGACTGTGCACCATAGGCTATTTTTTCCCATAGGGAGAGCCCCAGTGCTGTATGGCTGCATGGCAACCACATGACTGAGGGCTAACAATGTCACAGTCAGCTGGGTTTCAGCACAACAAGCTGTAGTCGACGAGAGGTGGTCCACAGGGCTAACCTGTGGCTATGAGCTAAGCCTTAATATGACCAAGAAGCTTTTCAAGGATGAGCGCTCAGAACATAATTAACAAGACTCTCTCCCCCTCTGATGAGCTCGTCTGTGTGAGAGGGTGTGTGTGTGTGTGTGTGTGTGTGTGTGTGTGTGTGTGATCATTGATCTGTCCAGAGGCATGCTGTATTCCCCATAGAACAACAACAACAACCACAGCTGTGAGGAACAACTTTATTATGACCCCTGTTCAAATCGGCTGAAATTAGTCACATATTTATGTGATTTCGGAAAAGAAATCGTCCGGATAATTACTTTTCACCGCTCCCATCAGATATCCCCATGGGCTCTTTTATATACAGCACTGCTAGGTGCCTGTGTTAAACTGTTTCAGTTTGAGTCTAAGACGGGGAGACGGTGTGGCGTATTAGGAAAACGAAGAGCATGATAACCGATTAATTTAATAGACTACATATGGTACACTGTGTGAATGGTATTGATGTGCACTCATCAGAGGGGAAGCACACACTGCTTATTCTTAATAATGGAACATGTCACAGGAGATGTGTCCTCTTAATGTGGATCAAAGACAATCAACAGACAACAGTTCACTGGCATTACATTTCCTGTGTTCCAGCGACTGCATGCAACACTGTTTGTATTTGGCTTGTTTATGCCGTTCACCTCAGCTCTAGATCAACATAACACACTACTGCATCATCCTAATTCAGAAGTCCAATTTAGGATTTATGTGGATGTAGAGAGAACCACATTCATAATTAATCTATGTTCACACTGTTGTGGCAGAATATATGTCTGCAACCCTGAATCAGCAGTTATGTTGCTGGTAATAAATGCTTATGATTGCAGTGACAGGGATTTCGACATTACTAAAGCAGGTGCCTCTGTGCTTATGTAAACTATAAAATGCTGACTGGGACATTGGAGAGGTGCCCATCTTCTTGGTTTTATTCTGCAGAAGGAGAGCAGCTCCTTAATCACTGTGACTTCTCTTTTGTTTTGCAGGGCAGCAATCGATGCACTGGCAGCACTTTTATGTTCAAGTAAGTATTCTTTAGCCCCTCTTACTCATACTTTTTCCCCTTTATAAACTGTTACCTCCCATACTAGTAGTCTGGAATAGTTCTATCACAATAGACTGTGCTATTGGCTGTCTCAGATGATCTTGTTCAATGCCATGAGAGTAATCTGGATCATAACAGGGAGGAATATTGAGTGGTATTTTGTGTTGGATAGCCTCGACTCCAGCTGTGTAACGTGTCGGATAGTCTGTGCCACAGGCTTTGTTTTGACCACACGATTAATCTATTCTCTCGATATCAAACCCCTTAATTAACTGGTCAAACATGGTCATTTTATCGAGTCTATTTACGAGCCAGTGGGTAACCATTGCTGATTTATAGCTATTAATATTATGCAAGCATGGAAGCATATGCACAGAATATGATTTAGTGATATAGGGAAGCCAGCTGTGAATTAGCTCAGTGTAACATGCCTTTTTGTACATAATTGTGATAATATTCCAGGCAATTTACTTTTTCAAATGAGCACACGGGACTGTTCTTCTGTAGTACCGTACAAGTTGTTTTGTGACCGGGGCTTGAATATGGATATGAAATGTATAGTATTACCAGATTTAGTAATTCTGCTAGCAGAGGCACTGGTGAAAAATGCATATATGACAAGCAATACTATTGGGTCTATTTCATTTTTACTTAGCTCACATCTTCTTGGGTGGTAATAGTTTACATACAATCTCCATGTCTGTGTTAGCCCTCAGAGTGATCATCTTCTTGGGTGGTAATAGTTTACATACAATCTCCATGTCTGTGTTAGCCCTCAGAGTGATCATCTTCTTGGGTGGTAATAGTTTACATACAATCTACAATGTCTGTGTTAGCCCT